TCCTGGTCGCTTACACACTTGTGATTTCTTTCTGAGTACGTCGGTGTTGCTCCCCAGTCGGTCTTGTTATGGTATATATCTTCTATTCCAATTTGCAAATTTTTATCGATTATCATCATTACATCTCACAGTATTGTATTGATTTGCTACTTTACGATTACGCGTTAAGCCACAATTTTTCCTTTAATAAATTTAGATTCTTCTTACACATGTTCAGTTCTCTTCACTGACCAGCGCGGTGGTATACTTGAGTATTTATAGGGTAGTTGCATGTACATCCTTATTGTTCTAGATGAGCTTCCCTCGAGTATTTCGAAGCTTACTGAACTCATCTATAAAGTCTCGGTTCAATACAAGTGCGTTTTTTCTTCTCACATAATCAAGAAATTTGTCTAGTGTGACTGCACCGAAATTGGAAAATGAAAAAATGCGTCTACCGCTCGATTTTTTACAGTTAAGCGAGTAGGTAAAACTCGAAAACTGCAAAACTTAGTTTCCAACCCAATAATTCTCGATGTAGATTTCGAACTACGCTCAAAAAGGCATTTGCAAAACTGATAGCGGTAAAATGGTGTGGCGTAATTGTCTCTAATCCAGGATTACTTTCTCATATATGATCGATTATGGTCTTGAAGTTGTTGAAGCGGATAGAAAAAATTTAGTGACCATCATTGCTCTGATTAGATATGCGTTTTTCCATTTGCACTTGATTAGGAAACCTAGTCATTTGTAATTCCAAAATCCGTATTTTTCTGCGTGGGAATACTTCTCATGGACAACAGTAGAATGAACACTGGATATTAACCAATCTTGAACGCAGGAAAAGAGCGAGAGATAGACGGATTGTGTTGATGCTTATCTAAAAGGTCTCAGTCTATCTGCGCTGCAGTTTTGGGTTTGATGCAGAGGAGATGCTTTTGAATTCCTGCCCACACAATTCCTTTTCAATCTTAGGTGGAGGTAAAACAGTGGTGGGAGTGGGAAGGGACAATTCGATCGCATAAGTGACATCGCGCATTAGATGGGATGGATTTTACGTTGCTTGCGTTTAGACGTATTGTATGTAACCTTTGCATCTTATTTTTGCTTTTTGGGTCTTCCTTTTTGATAGAGATTGCTTGCGAACTACAAATTTTACTCGTCAAGTTATTGATATTTTGATCATCAAGTTACATGACGCTCCGAAACGAAATTGTACGGAACGAAAAAATAAGAACAAACCTATTTGCGTTGCTAGTTATATTGGTTTTAGTACGAGGCTTGTATATCCAAGTGCAGGAAACGCCGAATCCGTTGACACTAAAATTTCTACCTGGTAAAGCTATACTCGACAAGCCTCGAACGTATGAGTTTACCACTGTTGTCTCTGCCAAGGATAGCCCGCTGGCAATGTAAGTAATCATTATTTTGGTGGGGTTGCCGTATAAAGTTATTACACTTAGGGAGCTGTTTCGAGTTGATGGAGTGAAATCTGTATTTTTTGGTGAAGATTTTGTCACAATAACTAAAAAAGACGAGGAGATAGATTGGGGAACTATACGACCAGAAGTCTTCTCAACCATAGCGAATTACATCG